CGCAGCGAGCGAACTTTGGGGGAAATTGCTCTTTGTCGCTTTAAATAAGGGGCACGTTTAATGATTACATGAAAAGGGGACAATTATCGAAAGGGATAAGACACTTATTAGAAAAGAAAAGGAGCACGTGTCAAAGTACAAAGGATAATTATAAGGGTGAAAATGAGGCATTTTTTTCACCTGAAAAGAGGCACTCACAAGTGATGAAAAAGAGGCGTTTACGAAAATGGGAAATAGGCATTTGTTGACGGAAAAGGGACACCCATCAGATTTTTATAGGGGCATTTATAAGAGGTGAAAAGGGGATAGGTCCCTTATTAGAAAGGAAAAGGGGCACGTATCATTATTAAAAGGGGAATTATCAGAGTTGAAAGGGGCACTGACCAGATATGAAAAGGGGCACTTATGAAAATGTAAAAGGGGCACTTATAATAAAGGAAAATGTGCATTTGGTGAATGAAAAGGGGGCACGGTTCAGATTTTTAAAAGGGGCAGTTATGAGAAGGGGAAGGAGCTCTTTCTTTTTAATGGGGGCACTTATCATAAGGAAAAGGGACACTTATTAAAAAGGGAAAGGGGTAGTTGTGAGAAGGGGAAGGAGCTCTCTCTTTTTAATGGGGGCACTTATCATAAGGAAAAGGGGCACTTATTCGAAAATAAGAGGGGCACATGTTAAAATGAAAGGTGTGCTCATCCGAGTTTAAAAAAGGGGTAGTTATTAAAAGTAGAAGGGGCAGTTCTTACAAAGGAAAAAAGGGGAAGTTGTCAAAGTAAAAGGAGCACCTCTCAGTTTTGAATAAGGTAATAATCAGAGGTGAAGGGGGCACTTATTAAAAGTGAAAAGGGGCACTTCTCGTACCTGAAAAGAGGCACTTACTAGAGATTAAAAAGGGCACTTATTCAAGATAATTTCAAGATTGATGAGAATGGAAAATGGACACTTATTGCAAAGGAAAATGGGAACATGTCGAAGGAAAAAGGGCACTCGTCAGAGGTGAAAAGGGGGAAGGGGCACTTTTACTAAGTAATAGGGGCACTTGTCAAAGTAAAAGGGGCACCTTTCCTATGTAAAAGGGGCACTTCTTACAAAATAAAAGGGGCACTTTTCCTATCTAAAAAGGGGCACTTTTGGGGTATCTGAAAAAGTGGGGGGGGGGGCACTGTGCCCCCCCCCCCTGCCCCCCCCCCCGGGAGGGCCGCCTCTGAGCCAGTCTATAGATCTAGCTGAATTCATGCATTTTAGCACATATCAACATAATTTAATTATTCCTTCTAGTTCTACATTTATACTCTCTGTTGAGTTGATGCCTGCTACCATGGGTGTCGATCCGGGGGGGGGGGGGTGGCCTGTACAATCATCCCCCCCCCCAATAATTCATCATCAAAAAAAAAAAATGAAGAGAAAAATTAATGATGAGAGCCCGATGAGAGTAGTTAATGGTTATTACTCGCAAGATGACCATCAATATACACATTAGGCTATCTCATGTTCATAATACATACTTATATAAACAAATAGAAAACGAAGTAAATGAGACAACCGTATATGAAACAAGAATAAATTGAATTCATCAGGGATTGCTGAATTTATTCAATGTATTCAATCAACAGCATCATAGACATGCTGTGCGCCAAATACAAGGCCGCAGTGTTAAAAAGCAACGAGCTAAATGTTAAGCGCGAAGCGCAAAAGTGCAAAAAAGAAGTAGAGAGTGGGAGACAGAGATAATGAGAGACAGAGAGGATAATAACCCAGGTAGCAAGCCCTTGCGGGACCCGCACATGGGTCCCATTCTCTGAAACATGGCCCCATATGGAAAACCATCTGGGGCCCGAAGGCATCTGCACCCGAGAAGCATAATGGGAACCATATGGGTATGCCCAGCTTATCCCATCTGGTACCCATATTGGTTAACCCAGATTTTCCCCATGTGTTACCCATATGGGCATATTCATATTCTACCCATTATGTGTACGCACAGCTCATTCCCATCTGGGACCCATAAGGGCTGGCTCAGATAGATTCCATATGGGTTACTAAATATTGGCCCCATATGGGATACATGGGTTCCATTTAGCCCAGATGGCACAAGTTAGTGACCCAGGTCATTCCCATGTAGGCCCCATATGGGCTTGCTACCTGGGAAAAAAAGGGAAAAGGGGAAGAAACGGGCAGAAGAAAAAAGGAAGGGGGAAGGGAAAAGAAGGACAGACAAGAGAAAGAGGGACATATTATATTCCAGCATTTCCTTCAGGGAACTGATGTGAATGGGCGATGAAAAAAGACTTTAAGCTACAATGAAATTTTGCTCATGTTTACTTCTTACAATGTCAAAATTACTTTACGGGATTCCCCTCCCTAAAAAAGCTTAGGTATGGGTGATGGTATAGGTATGAGGTTAATGCATGATCAGGAATTAGTTGAGTGGATGGAAAAGAAGTGCGTAATAAGCTGAAAGAAATATGGAAAATCAGCTAGCTATCATCCCCCAACCACGGATACAAATCGACACACATGCCTAGCCTGCTACCAGTTTATTCATTTAACAAGAGTTTTGCGATTAAAGCGTTTACAACAAAATGCGGTTTATTTATTTCTGCGTTTGCAATCTCTTTACCAATCCTCATTTTTTGAGAATAATGGATGGGGTGTAATGGACTGCTAGGACCGGACAAATAATTCCACGTAGTGAACGGACGAAAATGTTCACTGATGATATAGAGACCCTACTACTAATTACTCAATCACTGGTGTGAACCAAGGGAGAGTCAACGTGGGAAAAGCGACACAATGGCCCTCTAGAGTTCACTGGAGGAAACGTTTCTTTTGATGTCACACGTTATGATTTTGATTGAGGGTACTCATGGCACGCTCATTCTATTCATTTCTTTCGTCGAAATTAATTATGGGGAAACATGTCATCTCAGTATACAATGGTGCACAGATCCTATGTACAGTTTTGATATTGAATTTGACTGTTGAATCTATAGAACCTACATGTTTGACTATATTCGAAAGGGATAGGAACAAATTGCAGATGACTTGTCAATGGCTGCAGGTGATAAAAGAGGAGCAATTAAGCACATCTTGTAGATGCAGGAAAGCTTTGAAGTTTCCTTAAATTATTAGAGAAAGCAGACGATTCGTTCTACTGTTCTCGACTCGTAATCCTTGTCTGAATTCAGTTTCCCCCGTCCCGCGCGAAGCGCGAAAGCTTAGACGTTTCCTTAAATTATGAGAGAAAGCAGACAATTCGCTGTACTGTTCTCGACTCTTAATCCTTATCTGAATTCAGCCCCACCTCGATCCCTTGCGGAAGTTTAGACGTTTCATTAAGACTTAGAGAAAGAAGACGATTCGTTGTACCGTTCTTGACTATTAATCCATGTTTGAATTTAGTTTTCCCCGAAAATGTTAAACCTCTGATTTCTTTAGCTGATATTATAAGAAAGTGACACATCGAGAACATTCAAGTATTATAGTTGTAGTCTCTTTCGAAGTCGTCACAGCGGATAAGAAGTCACAGTTCGTAGGGGGAAAAAAAATTGTCGGCCGACCCCGCCCCCCCCCCCCCCCACTCCGAGAACGGACGGACCCCATGCGTGTTGCCAAAATGTCCTTTTCGTAACAAAAGAAAAAGGTCGACCCGTATTGACTTTACACACCGGACTTTTGCTGAAAAGGGGGGGGGGGGGTGCTGAAAAAGGCTCGTATACAAAAGAAAAAGGTCGAGCCGTATTGACTTTACACACCGGACTTTTGCTGAAAAGGGGGGTCGGTTGGAACACGCATATATATGCGTACCCTAAATAACACTGAGTGGGGGGGGGGGGGCGGGCGGCCGACCGACATTATACATGCACCGATCGACTTCAAACTTCTGCATTGATATAGTACACGATGATAGAGCAAGAATGTCGACACAGCTAACCCGACACAGCAACATAATATGCGTGTCTTTCTTGCTCCCTCGACGAGATGACTCCACAAAACAACCCGCTCTCTCGTTTACTCCCATGCACCCCTCCTCTCTCAGGCTTTTACCTCCCCCTCTCTCGCCTCTCTTTTAATCCCCCTTTCTTTTTGTTTCCTTTTACTCTTTTCTTATTTTTTTCCTTTTCTTCTTTTATTTCTTCTCTCCTCTTTCCTTTCTTTTCCTTTCTTTTTCTTTTTCACATTTTCCCCTTTTTTTTCTTCTTTTCTTTCCATTTCCCTCTCTTTTTCTCCCTCCCCCCTTTTTTTTTCTCCCAGACGGCAGCGCAATTTTACCGACAATATCCTGACAGGTGGGGAGGGGGGGGGGGTGTCGCACCCTCACACCCCCCCTTTAGAGACGCCCCTGTCTGCACGTAACATAAGAGTGGTGATGATGCGGGTTTTTTCTGCCCCCCAAACGTTTTTATTCGATCATTACGCCATACGTATATATTAACCAGATGGTAAATTAATGCCAGCTAGGTCACATGTCATCCGAGTGGGTTTTTCTGTGAAAGTGAAATCATCCATTTTGGGCCCTTCTTTTTTTTTGTCTAGGAAAATGATGGAGTACAAAAACTGTAAATTGGATTTGGACAGTTTTCAAGTTCTGAAATAGCTGTAAAATTCCGGGGGGGGGGGGCACTCAGATTTGGTTCAGTGGACGGGGGTGTGCCACTCAAGTCTCGAACCCCCTACCCATTTATAGGGGTCATTTGGGGAATTTTCTCGAAGTAAACCCCATTTTTCACAAATTTTGGAAATTAATAAAAAACGGAGCTATAATTAGGGATATTTTTGTTGAAAATGTGACCCATGTTTAGGGATTTTTTTTTGAGACCCGTTATAGCGACACACTCCCGTATGACTAAATATGTGAGAACCCCCCCCCCCCCCATCCCGGGTATAAGTATTTAACCCTAAGAAACATCCTTGGCATAAAATCTCCTCTGCTAAAATTGGGCGAATATTAATCCTGGGCCCCGTGTTTTGGTCTTTTCCTTTCTTTTCTACTTAACGACACCATACTTTTGAGACAATGACAAAATTTGTACAGAGAATGTTGAATACAAAACACGGAATATGTAGCTATTAAATTGGTATTGCTGTGATTATCAGATTGTAAGTGTGATTGATTCATATATTTATATATTGTTTGAATATGTAAGATAAATCGTATTATTCTGTGTGCTTGATTTCTATGACTTTAGATGGTTAAAAATGCGGTGAAGAATATTAAAGATTTCGATCATCGCGTAGCGTAGGGCTTGGCCGTAGCTCGTATGTAGTGTATGAAGGTGCTTGGCTCGTAGACTGTAGTGTAGTAATTTAGTATGTGCATTGTGAATGTGAGACTGTTCAATGGACATCCGTGTGTGAAGGAGACATGTACGTTCTACTACTACTAGGTCTACTACTACATGTACATGTATAAACTATAATCATATAAATAGGCATTTGAAATACTCTCGTAGGCATAGATTGCATTGATTAGAAGCTTGACAGAAATAAACGTCTGGTCTGTAGTGTAGGGGTGCTGGTCGACGTCCGAGAATAAGGATCGTCTGCTTTATAAGGACCATCTTCGTAAACGCGGACCGATGCGTCCTCAAAAATAATGATCGTCCACATTTTTACAGACGTTTCATATTTTTGAGCGGCGTGTTGGCTATATGCGAAAAACGGATTTCGTGATGATTTTCTTGATGCATTTTAGTTTACATTGACTTTGAACAGAGACTTTCATGTTATGAGCGATAAATTCTCGGAAAGACGTACAATTCATAAAAGTAGAGAGTGAAGTGGGGTTATTTCTCATGCTGAACCAGCAGAGCGCCGAGGATAAAAAATGTCGGTGAAAATGCAGACGATCCTTAATTTTTTGGATGCAATTTGTCTGCGTTTACGAGGATAATTCTTTAATAAAACTAACATTTGTCAACCTTCCGGACCAGCTTTTAATACCCCATATGTACACAGACACTTGAGACAGTACGGCCTTGGCCTTACGAGTTACGGCTCGCACAAGGCCAAGCTAGGGGGGGGGGGGGCGCCTGATGGGGCTACCTTGTATAGGAGCCCTGTCATGACAGAGCCCCTGACCTAATATTCTTAAAATGTCATTTTCTTTTGATAACCCACAGCTCTGTTGACCTTTGTTGTCCACGGTGTTCAACTTTGACACATGACCTCTCCTTCCATCATGGGTGAGAAAAAGGAAGGAGAGGGGGAAACCCACTCCAACCCCTCAACCCCTACCCATCGACGCAAGCGCTCGTCCATGGACAACGACAAGCAGGAGGATGGGGAGCATGAAACCAGACGCACCAAGTCTCGGAAGAGCAATCTGGAATCGCGAACGGAGCGTAATAGTGATGGCGAGGTAGTGCTTTACAGGGCAAAGGATGGCACAGAGTATGAAGTTGGAGGTATGAATTTATTGTAATTTCCAAGTTTTACAAATATGCAAATATACTTCACGGTCGTGGAGCCAAATCTGAAGGTTTAATATCTTTGTATATATGTACATGAACCTTATATTTATGAAAATCTATTTATTGGTAATCCAATTATTGAAGAAGAAAAAAATTCTCAAGGTTATCTATGATGCACATGTACATGTACTTTTTATTCATGAAAATCTTATATACATGTAATTGCAGCAATAAAAAAAGCGGTTTATAACTTTATATTATCGGTTATTGGATTTCAAGTTTGAGAGACTCTTTTGAAAGATGTTGGATCATGAACTCATGTAGATCTTGACAGCACAATCTTGACCACAAGGGTCTAGAGTCTTCTTACACTGTTACATGAGACAAACAAATTTCATGTGGATTTTCCTGCATGCTCTTCTGTTGATTGGTAATTCAATTATTGAAAAAACAAAACATATATGACACATGATGTATTAACAAAACATACCTGTATTTGTATTTTATGTACATGTATGTTTAAGTTTTCAGTTAAGATTTTTAAAACAAATTTTCTCTTAAAAAAATAATTGGTGATTTCAAAATGGATATGGATATACAGAATGTACAATGCATAATGTTCTTTTAGTGCACAACTAATACCCTGTTTTGTTATTTTAGCATAATTGATCTCTTCTCATGCTTATATTTATTTGATTATGTGTTTCTACTAAACACAAAGATCAAAAGTTTATTTATAAGTTTTTTTCTCCGCTTTTTCCTCCAGATGATGTCTATATGGAAAGTCCAAGAGCTGAAATGCCTTATTTCATCTGTGCTGTCCATGAATTCAAAGTGGTAAGAGCAAAGTTCTATGGTTATTTGTTTACCATTGGTCATACTTAAAGATGCAAAGTATTGGGCTGTCATGGGGAATTCAACACCATTTGGGTGTTTACCCAATAACAGGTGTTGTCAATCACCAGGATTAGCCTTCAGTTTTATGACCAACAGGCCTTATGTATAAATGCTCTACATATTCCAACAATCGCCCCATATAGAAAAGTCATTATCTTATATTTACCTTCTCCCCCCCCCCCCTTCCGAAGACTCTCCAATCTCAGGCTTTGATTTGAAACCGTAACGATTGTTTTTTAATTTATATAATATTGAAATATTTGAATTTGCAGAGCAAGAGAGATAACGTTCATGTGGTTGTGAAATGGTATTATCGCCAATCAGAAGTCCCTGATTCTGTCTACCAGCTTCTTATGCAGGATAGGCATGTTGAAAACAGTAAGTATGAAGACCAGATTTTAATCTTTGTATTTCTTTCTTGTTTTTAGTATAGTTAAGAAACTTTTATTTAAATGTTATTATCTTTGGGAATATAACCTTGATAGGCCATTAACCTCTGTTATTCCCACCACATTATGATTTCAATTGAAGATGATTCATTTTAATATTTGTTATTGTATATACGCATATAAATTATACTTGTTATTTTTTAAATCAGATGTGGAAATAAAACTTCAACTTGAACTACTTTGATTATATGTACATGTACAGGTGTAAGGTATTTCTTCACAGCATAGTGATAGTTGTAGGGTACTTTATTATTGGATAACTTTTTATGCTTACAAAGGGGATGGGGAAAATATGTTCATAATACCGAACTAATTCTCCAGTATGAAGTAAAGTGTTAGAGGAGGTGAAAATACATACTGGACATTAGTTGCCTGCCTGGAACCAGATGAGGTACATTTATCTGTACATGGCTAACTGATAATCAATTCTCGCTACCCCAAATAGCGATTCTGCCGAGATCCGGGGAAAATCCTGAAAACGCGCATTGCTTTATGGGATAGCTTTTCGACATTACAGCTTCCTGTGCAGGCGTTCGTGATCACAACCCTCTCTTTCACGGTAGAGTTTAACGGCCTTTTGTGCTAAAGTCACTAATTCTGCCCGAAGCTTTCCATTGCATATTATAATCTGTACAAATTACACTGATTGGCATCGATTTTAGCGTGCGTGAAAACTCTGCACAGCGAACACAGGCGCTAGCGCCAGCGGGATGGGACTCTATACCGGAAGTTGTAGTGACGACCCGAGAGAGTGAAAATTACCTCGTCTCGCGAATTTCGAGATTTTCGTACCTATTTAGGGTAGCGAGAATTGAATTTTGTGAGAGCTATAAAAGTAGCCTATCGAATGACAATGGTATTTGTGCACCTAAAACATAATAGCACAGCAATTTTAAATTTTCAAGTATCATTTCAGATATTATAGTTATTTAACATAAAATTTTACATAATGTATATGAACTCTTCAGTTATTGAACTTACATCTGTAATTTTCAATTTGTAATCCCTTACGTTTACATCCAGGAGCTGAACAGGATCTCATCATAGTTTTGCCAATTCAAGACAATATCAAAGTACATGATAAATGAGTTTTGTGTGAAATGCAATTTTACTTCAAGCACTATACGTGATGCTTTCATATTTTCATTTTAGATTCTGGTCAAGCCCTTGTAACTGCAGATCCCATTGCCAAGAACAGGGAGCTCTTCATTTCGGATACCATAGAAACATATCCAGTATCTGCTCTGAGGTATGTCACTCTGAAAATGGTTAGAGTCAGTGACAAGAATAAATCGATCACTTCAGTTGTAGACACCCTTATGATTTAAGAATTATCCTTTTGTGATAATGCTGATAAACCTATAGAATTGAGATCAGAAATGATGATCATGATGACCTACTGTATACCCATTTACTTCACCTGGGTTGAGTGTGGCAAATGTAGATTAATGTCTTGCCAAAGGACATTAGTGCCACAGTGGGACTCAACTGCAAACGATGTGATCCGGTGACGTATCCACTAGACCATGACACCTCTACCTCTATACAGAATGGACATTATGACTCACAGTTCCCTCAATATTTACTACAGCATTCATGTAATGCTTGTATCTTCTGGGGGTGTTATCACAAAGACTAAGATCGACTTGAAGTTGGACTTAACTATTTGCAGGCCATTCATGCCACTGGTTGCTCTCACCATTGGTCTCTCATTTATAATCTTAAGATAATATTTTATCCTTCAATAATGAACTATCAAAAAAGATAAATTCAATATATGTGTGACCATGATTTGTAAGTCCCTTGAGAAACCAATGCCAGGAACAGTTAGAGGAACTAGTGGCATGAAAGGCCTGCCACAGTTAAGTCCAACTTAAAATCTTAGTCTTTGTGAAACACCCCCCAGGAGTACTACTGTAGTCTAAAGTAATCCAATTTAAAATGAATATTAATAGAAATGCTCTCATGTTTATTATCTGTGGTATGTTTATTTCAGGCGGAAGTGCACTGTGTACCATTTCAAGGACATCCATGAAGCTAAGGACTTTGAGGTTACGTCAAACAATTTCTTCTACATCCTCAGCTACAACCCAGAAACAAGGTACTGTCAACTTTGTAGATTCCAGGAATAAAAATGTTGAGTATGTACACTGTAGTTCATGGATTGGTCCCTTCGTAGTTCATAAACAACTATTTTACATAGCAATTTTGATATATGTACAGTGTAGCTTCTTGCTCACTTCAAGGGGAAGTCCACTTTGGAATTAAGTGGGTTTGAATAGAAGCGGGAAATTCAGAGAAAGATGTCAGTGAAAGTTTGAGCAAAAACCGATAAAAAAAAGCAAGTTAGTACTTTTTGAAGGTGCAATCAACCAAACACAAATTAGGAATTCTGTAACGTAATACCTACATGTATAAGCTATTTGGATTCTTTGGCCAAGAATGGTGTTAATATTTAGTATTATGAATATTTGGTTTAGGATTAATGATAGCATACAACTTCGCTCTTTAAAACTCTGTCCTTTGTGCTCCCCTCCAGGCGACTTGCTGGTACCCAGGGCGAGATCAGGGTTGGACCCAGTCACCAGGCCGTGCTACCAGACATCAAGCCTAAGCTACGCCCTTCCAGGGGTACTAACCTAGACTTTGAAGAGCTCAGCTGGATGCCAGATGTCATGAATGATGTCGATCTGAAGATGTATCTACAAGCTGCCAGGTTAGGCCTTAATTCAATTCAATTCAATTCAATTCAATTCAATTCAATTCAATTCAATTCAATCAATTCAATCAATTTATCAATACATCAATTCATCAACTTAATTCAATTCAATTCAATTCAATCAATTCAATTTAATCAATTCAATTCAATTCAATTCAACTCAATTCAATCAATTCAATTCAAATTTTATTGTCCAATTATTGGAAATTTGTTTCGTTTGCATGTCAATACAAAATTACAGATTATTAACATCAATAAGATACAAATGGATACAGAATAGTACATTTGACTTGAACATAGATAACACAAAATGCGATAGTTCAAATAGATAATAATAAATAATGGAAGCATGCATGGATGGAACATGTCTAATTTTCATATTTTTTAGATTGTTATGTCGTTCTCATTCACATGAATTTTGACAACAATTCTTGAAATGGTTAGTGTTTGATAACAATTCTTACATTGCCTATAGTCTAATTATACAACAGCTGTTATTAGGTAGTAAAATATCATTAGTCTTATTATATCAGCTGTTATTAGATAGTATTATATCATTAGTTTATATGCAGTTCCCAGGTTAGAACAAGGATAGAAAGCGATAGAGGTGCATAGCCGCCAACCCCTTCCGAAGGAACAGCACTAGATGATGATGATGAGTTAAACATCAAACTGATGTATGTTTTACTGATTAACAGATTACTAACCTTAACAAAATCATCAAGAACAACAGAATTAATTACAGATAAATGCTGTTTAATTTTATTTCACTACATAACTGTTGTATATGAAGTAATGGTTTACACTGTTCCAGATTGTCAAAGCAGACTCGTTTTCAAACCCAGTCATGACATCTACAGTACTAGCAATTTATATCCAATGGAAAATATTCTTTCTACTTGTATTCATGTACATCGTATATGACCATGGTATTGACCTTTGACCTTGTAGGAGTATGGCAGCCTTTGTTGGAATGTGTGATGGGGGTTCCCCTGAAGAAGGATGTGATGTAGCATCCAAGGATGACACCACTATCAACGCTATCACTGTGGTATGTATTGTCGTTTTAACAACATTTAAGATTCTCATGTGTATTCTATCGATGTATATATTAAAAGATGCATATTGGCAGTGGTTTGAGGAATAAAATGCAACTAGAAATAACAAACTTTTGATTTGAGCCTAGAGAGATGGTATTTCTTATCATTGCAGCCTCAAATACTAAATGTGACAGTTCTTCTTGAAGATGGCTTTCTAGAATTCATACTGTTGTTAGATACTAACATACAGTCCATGTCCATGGATTAAATGTAATTCTGTTGTTCATGGATCTCGCAAGAAAATACAAAGCATTAAGGAATCTAGTACAAAGAAAGGTTAAAAGAGCTAAAGTCGAATATTTTCAAGATCAAATTGAAGAAAATAAACATGACTCCAGGAAGTTATGGAAAAATTTGAAGGGTTTAGGTCTAAAAGGCAAAGGGAAAAGTGCTCAAGAGACAGTTATTAATGTCCAGGGAGAATTATGTCATGATAAATCAAGAATAGCAAATGAGTTCAATAATTATTTTACAACTGTGGCTGACAAGTTAGCGTGTAAATTATCAGTAAACACGAACAAATTCCATGCCGACAGTGAAAGATTTCAAAAGTTTTATGACGAGAAAGACATCTCAAAAGATAGTTTTCACTTTTCTCCAGTTACAGAAAAGTTTGTTTTAGATGAGTTAAACAAGTTGAAAGTATCGAAAAGTACTGGACTAGATATGATACCAGCCAGATTTTTAAAAGATGGGGCGAGAAATTTGTATGAACCTTTGAATTATATAATCAATTTATCTCTTATGTCTTCTACCTTTCCTGACGACATGAAAATTGCAAAAGTAACTCCACTACATAAAAAGAAAGACAAAACTGACGTTGGTAATTATAGGCCTATCAGTGTTTTAAGCGTAGTTTCAAAAATTTTGGAAAAATCGGTTCATGCTCAAATAGAGAAATATTTTCAAGAAAAAAAGTTAATATATGAATTTCAGTCCGGCTTTCGTAACGGATATTCCACTGAAACATGTTTAATACATTTATCGGATTTTGTTAGGAATGAAGTTTCTCAAGGGCGCTTTGTTGGAATGGTTCTTCTGGACTTACAAAAAGCCTTTGATACTGTAAATCATAACATACTGTTAAAGAAATTGGAAGTGATGGGTTTGGATTCGGCATGTGTTAAATGGTTTAGATCATATTTAACTAATCGTCATCAAGTGGTAACTATGCAGAAGGTAATATCTGATTCCCTGCCTATTAAATGCGGGGTTCCACAAGGGAGCATTTTAGGCCCCATTCTCTTTATGTGTTATATTAATGATATGTGTACTTGTGTTAATGATTCTAAATTACTTTTATATGCTGACGATAGTGTGTTACTATATTCAGATACAAATCCTAAGTCAATTGAAGAAAAACTAAGTGCAGAATTGGCAAAATGCATCGAATGGATGACAGACAACAAGCTTAGTTTACATGTTGGAAAAACAGAAAGTATTTTATTTTGTTCGAAGGGAAAGTTTAAATATACACGTGACTTCAAGGTTACCTATAATAATCAAGTGATTGAGAGAAAAGATTCAGTAAAATATTTAGGAATAAATTTAACTAGTGATCTGTCATGGACAGGTTTGGTAGATTCAATTGCCAAAAAGGCTAATTCTCGCTTAAATTTTTTGTATAGATACCAAACTTGTATGAACATGAAGTCGAGACGTATTTTGTGTTTTGCTTTGATACAATGTTTATTTGATTATGCTAATGTTGCTTGGTACAGTAGTCTGGGCAAGATGGATAAGAAAAAGTTAAGAATAATTCAGAATAAGATGGTAAGATTTATTAATTGCTTAGGCCCAACAGGGAGGTGAGACTTTAAATGGAGATTCCGTCTCGAAAGAATTTCCCGAGGGAAAGATATTCAAGATTAACTTGGCTTAACAACAAGTAATGTAACCCTCTTCAGCCATCAAATCCATCAACAGCCGCCCTTATCAGACCACAGATGCCCTCTGGCGATCCAAATGTTACGAAGTGTTACGCAACGCGGCCTGCTTCCCTAAGCTCTCCAAACACTTGGTCGTAAAAAAAAGGCTTTGAAGCCATGCGAGTCACCGAGAAAATGACGTCATACTCATTGAAGATGTATATAGCTATAACAGACAAAAATACAAAATCGACAACTTATGGCACAAGGCAACCTGCTATTGGTTATCAAATGCTTTCGCTGTGCTCGGATAACTCTTCTGAAGACGTAGCCATCTGAACCAGCGAAATCGACCAAGGAAATCGTGAGTTAGAGTGAATGCAAGTTTCTCATCATCATCACGTTCTCTTCTAATTATTGACATTTTCCGAAAGTTTCCGAAATTTTTACATAGCTAGGAAGGTAGTCCATAAGTTTATCTCTTAAAATAACTAAATGAAACTGTGTTGTATAATTGCGCATTTGGTTTAATGAGGGTTAGAAGTTGTCAATTCATCACCACTTTTCACCCCGAGTACGGGCCGGCGACGCGAAAGCCGCCGTGCTCGCTGGGCTGTACATGCTGGATGTTGTTGGTGGAAACACACATAGCTGCATTTCTACCCTGGCCGTGTATTGAAAGTTGTGCTATTGATTCTCAACATTTCAAACACCACTGTACAAAACTCAACTGATTTCATTCAAAGGCAGTACTATAGTGACGATTGATGACACCTAAAGAGCATTAAACTACAATTTGTTCAACTTTCTGATGTTAGAAAGAATAATTTAAAAATTAAAATTGTGAGTCTACTGTCAAACTTGCCGATCAACCGCATCGGGATGATTATGTGCATTTGTACTGTATGTTGTGAGTGTATTGACTATTCATGTATTCAAATGCTGCCTATTTACATGGAGCGGCCTACGCATTCACGATGAAACCATTTAACCGTACATTCTGGTTCGCTGCAACGAATAAGATTTTCCGTTGATGGAATTTCACACGTGCATAACTTGTATTGGTCTCCAACTTCCCATACACCAGGCTCAAGAAAATCTTCCTCAAAATCAGTCAGAAAGTCTAAATCGTCGCCTACCAACAGTGACCAAATACTCTTCCCTACTGTACGCCGCCATTTTTGTCGATAGCAGCCGATGTGTATTTCCAACAATGCATTTCGCGAGCCCTATGTCACTCAGTTTCGGGAGTGAGATTTACGAGCTGTGCGGTCCGGGTGGGGGATTAACGGGATTATGATAGGGGGAAAAAAGACTCTCGGTGCAACGGACTGCTTCAAAGGGCCCTCTTAGATGCGGAATCCATTTATTACAAGCCCTGGGCCCAAGAACACACGTCGGGAAAAATGAACTTGAAGAAGCAGGTATACTCCATGTAGGTCAAAGGTCTAAACAACTCGTGTTACACCATGTCCATAAAATATACTACTCAGATGTAGATCATTATATTACTAATAATTTTACTTGTGTCTCAAATATTCATGGATACGATACAAGAAATAGTCATTTTAATTTTGTTTTACCCAAGCGAAAAGGACAAATTGGAAACTCTTTTTATTTTAATGGTATCCAATTTTGGAATTCTCTCCCAAAACGTGTCAAAATAGTTAAGAATTTTTCACACTTTAAAAGTGTATTAAAACAATACCTAAAGCATGAATCCCTTCAAGAACAGTAATATCAGTAATCTTAAATCACAGTTCATTATGTGTAGCGCACGTTTTTAAGTTTAATCTTGCATAATATACCGTAGATCATTGTTTGCTATAAGTTCTAGAAATTTTTGTTGTTGTTTATGTTATATTATTTATTCGTAATATTCGTAGTAGTTATTAGTTGTGATATTTTATTCTCATGCCGTACTGTACACGTACTTTATAGGACCCCGATGGAAATAAGCCTTTTCCGGCTTTCATGGGTTATCCTGTCAATGTATCTTCTCGTTCCATTTTGCTTTATGTATGCATTCAATGTACTATACTTGACGAATAAAATCAATCAATCAATCATGATATCTTACAAACAAGAAAGTTTGAGAAAGCACTCTGCGATAACATCTTTGATGTATCTTTACTTCATGTAAAACTAATTAGCAAATTCGTTCATTTTAATTGCTATTCTACCTTTGAATTTTTTTTATAATCTTTTGACTGCTTCCTTATTAACTTCTCTTAAAATCTATCTCTCTTTCCCTCTCTCTCTCTCTCTCTCTCTCTCTCTATCTCTCTCCCTCTCTCTATCTTTCTTGCTTCATTCTCTTTGATGTACTGTTGTATTCATTTGATTTCCCCATTCCTTGAATCTTTATCTTTTTCTCTCTATTTCTCTTTCTCTTTCTCCTTCTTTCTCTATTTGTTGTCTTCTTCTGTCGTTCCTCTATCTTGATCTTTCTTTCTCTGTCTAATGTGTCTCCACAGCTTCATGAGAACCACTATAACACTGGTAAGGCGTTGCAGGAGCTTGTCAAATGTCCAGTCCCAAGATCGATTGACAAGAAATGGACAGACGAGGAAACGGTAATTGCTCCATTCATTCATTCATTCATCCATTGAGTACTGTGTACAGTGAAGAGTAATGTACTTGGGGTCAGAAAATGTTGCAAAGATTGCAACTTCTACAATAAATGAGTGAAAACACATGTTCACTCAGAACTTGTACATATTATCAGATGAATGTAAATGAATCTATTGAAAGCTATTCTGTCAAAAAACAGGAATCGTAAACATTGTTAATGGAAAGTATTGCATTTTATTTACGACACTTTGACCTTTCTTCTTTGCTTGTGTCTATACTATACTTATTATGACAGTACGGTGTAGCTGCAAATCTAGATCTTATACTACAGTCAAACCTGCTGTAGTAACCACCTGTCTACAAAGACCACATTTTTTGTTTCCCTTTGAAAATGTTTTTTTCATTGAAACATGTACTATAGGCACCCGTAAATAAAGACTACCTGCCTATAAAGACCACTTTTCTTGTCTCCCTTGGGTGGTCTTTATAAACAGGTGTCACTGTATTATGAAATATATGATGTAGAGTGTAGCTGCAAGGCAGACAGAATAAGACAGTTCACAGGTCTCTCAGCCCATCGTCCCAGCCCATCGTATGGCTCAACACAGAACCATCATCAACAGGGTCACAAAGTGTCAGTCATAGGACCACCACCACGATGTAGATTGTAAAATTTATGCATAGTTTTCCAGTATGGAGAAAATCTGGGACTTAGGAGAGAAAATAATCCAAGTTACTTCTTCTATTTTCTTGCAGAAACTGTTCATCAGGGGACTACGACAGTTTGGCAAGAACTTCTTTAGGATCAGAAGAGACTTCCTGCAACACAAGGATACGGTAAGATTTCATATTCTCTAACAAACAACCCCCACTTCTTGCTGAGTGGGCATTATCATTGTACTACAACATTTTAGACTGTTAATGTTCACAATTCAGTTTCTTACTTTTTAGTCTTTGTGATTGTCCTTTGATTATAGGTAAATTCATGCTAGCTAACATATGATTTTAAATTCTACAAAAACCATTCTTTTCTTCAAGCTTTTCAGCCACAAAGGTACAATGTATATCCAAGGCGGTATGGGGGGGGGGGGCAGGATGGGACATAACTATATGGCATTTGGTTGCGCCCCCCAGTTAATGGATATTTTTACTCAAGGATGTATTAAAATACTTGAACTCAACGCCTTTGCAAGTTGTGCCCTGATCTTAAGGACCTGTGTATATTAGAGGTACAAAAAAATGTATGTTATGGCCCCTAAGTTTATTTAATTAAAAAGAATATTATTTCATTTCCAGGAATAAAAAAGTACAACAATCACAAAGAACTCATGAAAAAAAAGTAAAACAGTGAACTAGGATAACAAAAGAAAAGAAACCATGAAATAATGCCTGTGGATTACGGAACGAAATTGAGATTTTTTACAATGTTTGTACAATAGTATTTACAATGTTTAAATGGCTTCTTGCAGAGAGACCTGGTTGAGTTTTACTACTACTGGAAGAAGACCCCTGAGGCTAATCATCATCGCATCTACAGGCGCCACCGCAGGCAAAGTGTACTTAGTCGCAGGAATTATGGACGCAACATCAGACCACCTTCTAGTGAATTCTGTAAGTAAAGGGTTGTTGTAAAATCAATGATTTTGTGCTATTTAAAGGTTTACAAATATATGAAGGGTGTAAAGAATGTATTTTGCTGTTCTGTATACTTCCGACATTCCAGATTGGCTGCATGATCGGGGAATGAGGGGAGAACAAATCAGAAAATCTTCAAACAAGATAGGGATTTGATTACTTGGTAGTAGAGCATTGATAGATATTGCAATTCAAGGATGCAGTATTCTGTTTAGGTAGCATTAAAAATATATTATCATGGAACGACGAGTCTGGAACACAGAATGCTTAATTGTTGAAACTGATTACGATAGAACTGTATTTCTAGGACATGGGACTGGAAAATATCTAGACTATACTGTCTTGTTCAGACTTAATATTAATAAGCAATGTCATGTTTATATGTCAAATTACAAATTTTCATTCACTGTTAGGCCTTTTTGCGATCTGGGCGCATCTCATTGTGCTATTACTTTTTGCTATTAAAGCTACCTTACTGCTAATGTGCAAAATAATATATATGTACATGCAACTTCTGTTACAATGAAGTCTGCACAAGCACAATCAACACAATTTTATGTGCACATTTAACGGATATATTTAGAGGTAGAACAACATCTTTGCTATCATAACAGGGAGTATCTTTATTTACTGTACTTCACTGTGACACTGCAACATATTTCTTTTATTATTTTCCAATTTTTTTAATACAAAATGTATTTATATTCTTGCATTCATGGTAATTCCCTATCTGTTTTTGCAGTGGATCTGAGTTCCGCCAGTGAATGTGACTTGGATAGCGATGACAGTGAAAAGAATTTCAGCGGCTATGCATGCAGACACTGCTTTACAACAAGTAAGTATTTAATAGGACATTTTGGAAGATTGTCATGTAAAAACAGAACCGATATTGTAATTGATATTATAAGTTTGTAATTGCTTTATTGAATGGAAATTAACACTCTAGTTTATGAGGGTCAAGTTTTTGGTAAATAAGTAATACAGGGGACAAGCAGGTTTTAGTACAATAAGAAATCTGACAAATGCGTAACAATGTAATTTGTAATCAGATAGTTTCCTAAATGGTCAACACTTGGTATAGTGGTCTATGTGAGTGCCACTCTCTGTCTTATCAACTTTCTTTTCCAGCGATGATATGTCACCTAACTTTTTCCATAATAATTCTAATACACCTGAAATATTATGATATTCTATATTTTTTACGATCAAAATGTAGTGCTGTGTGTCAGTATCTTTAATGTAGTATAGTCAAACCTGTCTTTCCTTCAGTGCATGTGTCGATGAGAAACCATTTTCAAGGGAAACAAAAAATGTTTTCTTTGTAGACAGGTGGTCACTAAAGCAGGTTTGACTGAACATGTATAAATACTGGTTAAACAGTAAAATATAAAGTGGCAAAAATGATGTTAAAATGACTTTCTATGAATTAATACTGTATTATAATGTGATAATGACTCTACATGAAACGATTCCAAATCTTGCCACCACTTCATGAGAAAAACACTGTCTCTTTTAATCCCATCAGGTTCTAAGGACTGGCACCATGGTGGCAGAGACAGAGTTCTGCTGTGTACAGATTGTAGAGTGTACTTCAAGAAGTATGGTATCCTTAGACCGATCCAGAACCCTGGTGCTCCACCTGCCTTCATGTTCAAGCCTGTCAGGGAAGGAGAGTCCTTTGACGTCAAGAAGAATCTACGCACTAGGAGACACAGGGAACTGGTACGTTATATGTTCAGGGAGGGGGGGGGGGGGTGTTTTACAAAGACTAAGATTGACATTATGGCAGGCCATTCATGCCACTGGTTGCTGTCACCATTGGTCTCTCAATTATGATCTTTAGATATTATTTTTGCCTTCAATAGTGAACTATCAAATCAGATTTGTGACCATGAATTGTACGTCCCTTGAGAAACAAATGCCAGGAATGGTTAGAGGAACTAGTGGCATGAAAGGCCTGCCATCATTCAGTTCAACTTAAAGTCAATCTTAGTCTTTGTGAAACACTCCCCAGATGTGGCGGACTTTGACAAGGATCGATAAGGTCTTCCTGAGTTATCAGGCTTTAGGGTGTCGGCTAAGATCCCATAAGTGACTTGAAATTCTAAAGGTGTCAAGATGATAATAGAGTCCTAAGATATCATGAAGAAATCATGCACTAGGAGACATAGATAATTGGTACGTTCCATGCATAGAGGTTTCAGAGTATTATAAGCACTTGACTTGGAATGCATGGGTTTGATCCCCGACATTGCACTACAGTCCTTTGACAATGCATCAATCTACATTTGTCACTCCATACCTAGGAGAGAAACGGGGACCTGGTCGGATGACTAAAGCATTTGTGTAACAGTTATTAATTGCCATATTCCTTCAAGGTGACTATTTGGTAGGAATACTCCCCAGGGGGTGGAGATGGTGAACATTGTGCATTTATGAATCCCTAGGGAGCATTCCAGCCAAGCTTCATTTTTACAAGCGTACACTTGCTCATCTAACCACATTAACTTTCGCATCCTATTGGGTCAATCAAAAGCATTCCAGGTATTGAGTACTTGCAAGGGCTTCATTTAAATGAATGGAAATTTGTAATAATCTGTTGAATTTAAATGATTCAAACCACTATAAACATACATGTATAACATAAAAACGTATTACGAAGATGCTTTTTATGTAACATGAATAGTAGAGATGCTAATTTCATCCTCAATTCTAATCTGGAGACCGGGCATTTTCCTCTATTGCTCCTTGCCTGTGGAGCTCCCTCCCATCATTTATTCACGAAATTGACATCCTTGACCACTTCGATGCTTCACTCAAGACTCGCATCTTCCTTCAGACATTTAAATGCTAACTTTATTGGAGGAGCTCGCACCTTTAAATGTATTTTAAAACAGATATATGGCGCCATACAAATGCTGTGAATCATCATCATCATCTTCTAACTTTCTCTTCTAACCGTATAGGTGAACAGCTCATCCCGTGCTGGGCGTAACAAGCACCTGGACGGTGTAGCCAGTGAACCCAGCAGTCCTCTCAATCACAGGAGAGGTAGCGGTACCTTCAGCCATAACTCACCCAGTGAGCTGAGCACCTCTAGTGAGGGCAGCAACAACTCTAAGAAGATCAAGGTAATATCACGTAGATCATCTGAATAATGATAGTTGAAAACGGGGGGTTACAGAAAGTATAGTATATAAAGGAAATCTCTAAGAAGATCAAAGTAATAACGCGTAGATCATCTGTATAACGATGGTTGAAAACGGGGATTAAAGAAAGTATAGTACATGTACGTAGATTATCTGTATAACGATGGTTGAAAAAGGGGGATTACAGAAAGTATAGTATAACAAGTTTACAGCCTTTTAAGGAAATAGCAATCGTAAACTCATTCGTGTCTTCTGTTCATTCACCAACTGTAAGAAGATCGAGGTAATAACACGTAGATCACCTGTATAATGATGGTTGAAAACAGGACTGTACAAGAGGGCAACACATGTGGTTTTGTACATCTGAAGAAGAGAAAAAGCAACAACAGCAACAAAGACAAAAAAATCAAACCAAACAGGTGTTTTTCTGGGGAATACTGGTTAAGAGTATACAAAAAAATAACTATCATGATCATCATGTGCTTTTAATGGCAATCCTTGCCAAGAAGTTTAAAGAGTTGCTCTATGTCTAGGGTCAGGATTAGGTTTTTTTTAAACATGTATTATGAAGTTTGTTTTTAAAGAAGATATTGTATGTCCAATTTAACAAATCCAAATAGGAAATGCTACTCCCGAGGAGCACAGAAGTGATTACAGAAAATATAGTATAGAAAGTATACAGCCTCTTGAGGAAATAGCAAGTGTAAACTCATTCAAGTCTTCTCTTAAAACTGACCTGTTCAAAACCGCTTTTGATTAATCAACTATTTCCACATTTCCACATCTTATTCAACTTAATCTTTTGATGTAATCTGTATTGTATTGCTCATGCTCTGCATTGCAGTGTACATTTAATATAGTTTATCCTTTTCCTTCATGTATACTCTCGGCACCTTGAGAATTCCTGCGAAATGGATATGGCGCTTTACAAATAGTCTTTGTTATTATTACCATCATGAGGGTAGTCATGCTATCGAGCTTTTGTCAACGCTCCTGTTTTACTTTATTCTGCATATAGTCTTTTGAAATGTGTCAAATTTGCAATGTTTTGTTTGTTATATATTTGTAAAACTGCAAAAGAAAAGAAAATCATACAGAAATAAATAAATCAAATCAAATCAAATCAAATTATTATTTTGATGTGTGGAATTCCAGGTGGAGAGTGACCAAGGTCCGGACAGCCCAGCCAGCCTGCCACCAAGGATTAAGCAAGAAGACCCAGAAGAAGAGGAGATGGAGGAAATGGAAGACTTGCTAGAGCAGGGGGTAGAACCAGAGGATGAAGAGGAGGAGGAGGAAGAAGAAGAGGAGGAGGAGGAAGAGGGAGACGGAGAAGATGAAGAGGAGGAAGAAGAAGAGGAGGAGGAGGAGGAGGAGAAGATGGAGATTCGGATGAACATTCAAGATGTGGAAGCAGATGTTCAGGTAAAGGAGGAAGATTGAAAAAGATGAATTCCTTTGACCTTGTTTATTTGTATGAGATATGATATAGAATGTACACATAAAATGACTGAGAAAGATAACCGGTTAACATGTCAAATGAGCTAAATAGCATTACTTATAAAACTGACCTAAAATATATGCTATGGATGTGTAAAAGAACTAATTAAAGGTGCATAAAAGCAATTTGACAAAAATGATATTGTATCATTGCAATAAAAAATCATAATGAATGGTGGTTTATTCATGCGTGTGTAAGAACTTGCACCAAGCAAGACTGTCTACACAATCATCACTAAATGATTTCTCATCAAATTCCAGCTTGTTTTTGAAATATTTCAGTTACTTACAATGATTATATTGTATGCTATTGTGTTATATTTTTAATGCAGAATGATGAACCGTTTGAAGGACCACCAACATGCCTAGATGCTAGCCAGCAAAAAGATCTGGAGAAGGAAACGCAGCCTCAGCCCCCTGTGGTTGAGGCTGCTGAAGTCAAAAAGATGCTTGTGATCAAGAAAGAGCCTGTAGAAGAAGAGCCAGCCCCAGAACCTGTCATGCCAGCAGCTGTTCCCTCGCCCGTACCTCAGAGGTTCACCCTCCCAACCCCCATCATGCCCGTTATTCTACCTCCAGGAGAGAAGAAGGGCGAGGCACAATCTTCACCCCATGGAGGGGTGCACCAGGTGTCTACCGCTAGCACCCCTCATGGACCAGCTGTGGTGCTGCCACCCTTCACATCCACAGCAGGTCTCTTCTCCCCATTGGCCATGGCTCAGGTTAGGCGAGGTGGAGAGACTGGAGACAAAGAAGCTAGGAGGGAGAGGAGCTTTGAGACAAGTTTTGTGGACCACATGATCCGCACGGAGCTGGAAGCGAAGGATCCCTCTCCGAAGCGAGAACCGGAGGAGGAGAAGGCAAGGAGCACTCCCACCGACAGAAAGGACACACCTCTTGCCCCGCCTCCTCCCATGTACCCTATTGGTTTCCCCGGTGCCACGCCCATGCCGGGGATGATGGGTATGCCAGGTATGCCTCTCATTCCTGGTATGTCCATGCCTCACATCAAGGAATTGCAGGCTCATTACCAGAACAGGGACCAAAGAAACGAGAATCCAGATCGACAGTCTCTCATAAGAGAGGCTTCAGCAGCTTGGAGGCAGTCTGAGGAAGGGAGAAGGCCAGAAGATCTGGAAAGAAGTGAAGCTTATCGTCCTAGCAGGGATCACGATCGTCCACGCTCTGTTGATGGAAAGGGTTCGGAGAGGAGCAGCAGGAATGAGTCTGAATCCGACAGAGATCGTCCAAGCCAGGATAGGGAGAAGGAGAGGGACATGGAACGTAGCAGGGGAAGACTGGATCCTCCACCTTTGGTCTACAGAGAAGGATTACCAAGTTTCCCACATCATGGTGTTGGAATGCCTCAGATGTACCCAAGGGGCGAGTCTGCTTACATGCCTTATGGAAAGGAACGTCCTCCCAAACCAGGGGAGAATCTAACGCCCCCATTGAGACGAGATCATGATGGTCGTGACAAGCAACAAGAGAGTGTGCCCAAACCCAGGGAAAGTCCTTTGGAGAAAGATAGAGGAAGGCCGAACTCTCCTCACCGAGAGGCAGAAGGGAAATCAAGCAAGATGCTACCAGACCAACGGCCAGGGGCATATCCTCCACAATCCCTTCCTTCTCAAGAGCCAATCATGGTGGGTAATATGCGTATCAAGCAAGAGATGCCAACCTATAGCTACCCTCAGTATCCCCCCTTTGAACACCGACCAGGTCATCCTGACGCTGCAATAGGTGTACCTCCTTACCCGCCCCCCAACCAGCCCCTCCCACTCAACCAGCCCCTCCCACCCAACCAGCCCCTCCCACCCTCCCAACCCGCTACATCAGCTGCTGCTGGTGACAAGGGCTCGTTCGATATCTCCAAGGTGAAGGCTGAATTTGAGGCTGCGCATAGGAGCATCATGGGTGACCCGAAGCGTATGCAGCAGACATCTGTCATCACCGAAAACAGACTTGCCCCTGGAGGATCACCATCTGCTCCTCTTGTCCCACCCATGCTGCATCCAACTCTGAGGTTCCCCGATGGTGCAGTGAAAGTCAAAACAGAGACTGGCATCGATGAAGAGGCACAGAAACCTCGAGAAATTAAAGAAGAGATGAAGGAGCCTGATAGCGAGAAGAAAGATGGAGAAAAGACAGAGGAGGAGGAAGAAGAAGAAGAGGAAGAATATGAGGATCTTGGTAATCGCTCTCCATCTCCTGAGCCTATGATGGTGGATAGACTACTTCACACAAGTTCCTCTGCCAAGTATGAACACATTTTGTATTTTTATTTTCCTGTTATTAGGGCCGTAGGCAGGAAATCCCAATCAAATTTAACTCTATACATGTACTGCTTTTTTAAATCAAAAGTAGCGTATTACTGAAATTGAAATATATTTATAAATTTTAATGAAACACTGTTTGTATCAAGACAAATTCATTCAAAGACTTTCGTCACTGGAAATTCCGTTTATGTTAATATGATTTGTAGCTTAGTAAATGTTGCAAAACATTAAAATCTCATTTCAACAAAGGTGTACAACCTAACATTTGAAGATACTTTTATCATGTGTGAGCCATATCTTATGAAAACTGCTGAATCTGACATAACAAAATTGTCTTGCAAAAAAGATGTAGCCAGATTCATTATCAGTGATATAATGTGCAACTACATTTTGCTTTTCAACCAACTTTGCAAATGAATGTTGAAGTGAAGTGGCACAAGTACTATCCTAGATTATGCAAACTCCTCTACAAAGTTATTTCAGTGATTCATATTTCAATGCCTTATTATTCATTCTTTCCAAACAGATTCATACGCCACTGGTCCAGAAGGAACAACTCATGCAGTCGAACTGATCTCCTGTTCTCACCCCGAGAAGATTCCAAATGGATGCGTCGATGCAGGGACCGTGAACGTAAGAAGCGTTCTAGTATCAGCCACGAGGCAGACAGGGAGAGGAGCTCTTCGACCAGCCGGGATGAAAAGAGTGCTGAAGCAAATGATAGAGTAGCTGTAAGTACTGCTCAGTATTTTTGAAAACATGAAAGCCTTCCACTGCTGGTATTTTTAGTAGAATAATGGAGTAAGAAACAAGCCCTTTAAAGCCCCTCTGCACTAGTTTGGCCAGTAGGGATTAGACCTCCCTGCATGGTCATTGACAGGTGGTTATCTCATCAAATCAGCTCTCAATTTACAAGAAGGGGGCCATGGGGGACCAATTGTCACCGATTAGGCATTCTTTGCTATATGGAGGGCGCAAGTAGCTATAAGTAGTGCAGTGGGGCTTTAATCTCCAATGAAGCAAATATATAGTAGGAAGATAATGACAGCCTATTCATGTACACCTGTACATGGATGTCTGCTTTATCTAAAGCTGGGCTAATGATATCCACAGGTTAAAGAAGATGTACTTAGATGAATTCTACATGGATATGTAGATTTATTTTTACATGAATGTTTGGATTTGACTAACATAATTTATTATGTATCACTTATGATAAAGTCTTTAGAAACTATTGAAACATTTTTTCTTTCATTGAAACTTGAGTCAAATTCAAATAGAAAATCAATTCTGATGTTATTGAGTGTATGTTGCCAAGATATCAAATTTGTTTTCTTTCATTATGTTTTTACAGAGACGACCTGAAACCCCACCAGAGAATACCAGTGCAGATGCCCAGGTGATAAGTTCTTTCACTTCTACTCCAGCACCAAGCACCCCAGGGTATCCTGCGCCACCAGGATCTAGGCAGGGGCAATACCCTGGTCCTGAGACACCAGCCCTGCGCACACTCAGTGAATATGCTAGACCGCACTCCAACAACAACAACCTGCCTCCTGGCATGCTGCCGAACTTGATCGGACCTGACCCCATCCTGCGGTACCAGCTGGAGTCTGCCTACGTGATGGGAAACAGAGATGCACAGATCGACTTGGTTGAACGGGAGATGAGGGAAAGGGAACTTCGTGAGAGGGAGATACAGGAGCTGAGAGAGAGGGAGTACCAGGGGATGCGAGAGATGGAGATGAGGGAGATGAGGGAGATGGAGATGCGACAGAAGATGGGTTATGAACAGATGTACGGGATGCGGCAGGATGGGGTACCCATGAATGCTTTCATGGCACAGGAAGCCCAGGCTGCTCATGCATCAGCTGTGCAGCAGGCCCATGCTGCTCAGGCGGCTCATGCAGCGCAGGTTGCCCATGCCCAGGCCACTCATGCTCAGGCCGCTCACGTGCAGGCGGCTAGGGAGGCACAGTCGGCTCATGTCCAGGCTGCCCACGTCCAAGCTGCCAGAGAGGCACAAGCACAAGCTGCTCATGCTCAGGCAGCTCTTGTTCAAGCAACCAGAGACGTTCATGCAGTGAGAGAGGCTCAGGCAGTGAGGGAGGCTGTAGTCGCAAGAGAAGTACAGGCCGCTAGAGAAGTGCAAGTTGCAAGGGAAGTACAAGCAGCAAGGGAAGTGCAAGCTCAACGTGAAGCGCAGGCTACACGAGAAGCGCATGCTGCTCGTGAAGCACAAGCGAACAGGGAAGCACAAGCTAACAGGGAAGCCCAGGCTGCACGCGAAGCTCAGGCAGCTAGGGAAGCACAGGCTGCTAGAGAGGCACAGGCTGCCCGTGAAGCCCAAGCAGCCAGGGAAGCCCAAGCTGCAAGAGAGGCCCAGAAAGCAAGAGAAGCTAAGGCTGCCCGGGAGGCTCAGGCTGCAAGGGAAGCACAGGCAGCACGTGAGGCTCGTGAGAGAGAAGCTAGGGAAGCCCGTGAGCGTGAGGCTCGCTCCGTTCACTCCGCTGAACCTCCCCACCCTGTCATGCATCCTGTAGCTGCAGCATACCTACAGGCAGTTGATAGGGACAGACATATGATGGGCCCACCTCAAAGCGGGGAACATTTGGCTAATGCAGAGCGCCTGAATACGGAGCGTTTGCATTCAGAGCGAATGGCTATGATAGTTGACCCCAGGATTGACCCTCGTCTGGATCCCAGGATAGATCCAAGGGTTGATCCAAGAATAGATCCCAGAGTAGATCCCAGAGTCAGTCCATGCTCAGAGCATGCTATTGACCCTAGATGTGACCCTAGATGTGACCCAAGGGTAAATCCTGGTGTCTCCACCCCTACCAGCCGAATCCCTACCCCTCACCATCATTCCCACTCGCATTCCCACACACACCTACATTTCCATCCTCAAGAACACATCCACCATACCTACATCCCTCCCTCAGGGGACCCTAACATTGTACCCCCTCACATCCCACCCCCTCACATCCCCTTTGGACCACCCCCAGTCCCTCTTCCCCCACATGCAATGGTGAGCCCTGTGCCTCCTCCACCTGGTGCCGTACCCCACCCTCGCATGTTTGCCCCGCCCCATGGTATCATAGGGGACCCAGTGGCTGAACAGCTCCATAGGGAGCAGATGCAGAGGCAAATGCTATCAGATAGACCACCCCATATCTAAGCTGCCTTCTTTGCCAAGATCAAGCACAAAACATGTCCATTGCCAGCAAGAATCGTGCGGAAAACCATGTTATACTTTCAGAGGCAACTGCATTGCGGAATGCCAATTATTAGGAAATGTACATGTTGTTAAAAACTTTTGAAAGTGTATCGTCTGTAAAACCATATAATGGGCATGCTTTCCAGTCGTTGATTCCTTTAGAAACTGGATATAGATATTTTGCAAGGTCAGAGATTCTGTGCCCTTTCCTGTAATATACATGTTGTATACTGGTCATGCCTGCCTTCGTGTTCATCTTATGAGGTACATCTGCAGACTGCACTTTTCAATGTATGAAATGATACTGAAATAATTCTGTATCTGTATAGAATTAATATATATGTGATTGTGATTCATGAAGATGTGTACCTAGACTTTTCACTTGGTGTAAAGGAGCTTGAGAATCATCTATTTTTTAGGAAGAAATAGGATGAGGAATTTTACAATATGCTTTTGTGGTGTGTCCATGTAAAAATTTGTTAATTGTCTTGTTTTAGGATTAATCTAGAAAATTGCCTTGGGATCATACTTGAATCATCTGGGACCCGTTTCACAAAGCCTTTTTTCAATAACAAATGACAAAAATCAGTGACAAATCTGCTGATGACCAATCAGAAGCAAGGATTTCAGTAGCTTATAACAAAAACTGTCATTCGTCACTGATGACTAGTTTTGTGAAACCCCCCCCCCCCCTGGGCTATGTCCAAAAGCAGATTTGTATCTTTGATTCTAAGTTTGTTTGAATCCCTTGCTCTCTACTTTGTATGAGATATCTTGAAGTTCTATGAGAAGCTGCATAGCATGTCAATCATGAATGTCTCATATTTTGGGCATAAGATATTACACTGACTATCCCACACACAACGGGAAGTAAATGAGAGTCGAACAGTGAGAGAAAATGAATGGAACACATGGTTTTATACATGTGGTACATACAAATATGAGAGGGCAAACAGGAATTGCAATGGTTGAAATATAATCTGATTTCCTGATCAGATCTGATGGGTCGTTGTGGGGGTAAGGGGAGGCATCACTCTTGCCTCAACTACGCAGGGGCGTTTCACAAAACTTGTCATCAGTGACAAATGACAGTTTTTGTTATAAGCTACTGAAATCCTTGTTCTGATTGGTTATCAGCAGATTCGTCACTGATTTTTATCATTGAAAAAACGCTTTGTGAAATGCCCCCCAGGCTTAATGTAGCACTCCGGCTTAGAAGTTTCCAGCATATAACCTTAAACTAAACTATATGTAAATGAAAAGTAATATAATTCTTTGTAAATGTGTATTGTACAGATTTAATCAAAGTCTATTGAAACAAAGTCAAACCACACCCATAAAAAAGGTGCCTGTGTATATTCTTACTTAGTTCTATAATTTGACTTAAGTTCACAAATCATGCTTTTCAGACAATGTGTTGATCAGTTTTGATGACTTCTGATGTAAATATATGTAAATGATATGTCGGGAAATTCTATAACCAATAGCCAGTTAGTCCAGACATTTTTTCATAATTATGTGCATTTTTTTATTGAAAATATTGATGCTTCTCTTCATGACTTCTTTAGATACTGATGGCTGTAATCATGTAATCACTCTTTTTTCTACTTTAGCAAGCTTGGGAAGGGAATATTGTATATAAAACCATGGAAGAGAGAAAATACATGTAATCTGATAAATACTGGAATATTTATGAGAGATTGAATGGAATAACTAAAGATTGTCATCTTTTCATGTACCGTCGACATCATTGAATGATAAAGAAAGGAGAATGTGAAGAAGAAAAGCTGTAATGGTTATGAGTCCTGAACAGGACTATAGTTTGTAGATAATAGACTTGGTTACTAATGCATTGAAGCACTCCAACACTAGGCACCCGTGTATACCCGCTCATGCACGCGCTCAATCTCCTCCGCACTGGCAAAGCAATCAACACTCTCTGATATGAAGGAAGATTAATAATTCTATTTCACTCCCAAGTGTTTAAGTTGTACAAAATCTTTATTAATCGTCAACACATCAATCATGCTCAGAAAACATAAATCATGAATCAAATTCTAATTACCGATTAAGCTGGATTATCAATCGTATTTCCTAAGCATCTCAGAATCATATACAGATATACTCTGATCGCTGGCCTTGATTTACGTCCAAAATCGGCATGTTTGTACAGAATTTCAAAATACTGTTACTTTCTGCTACTTTCTGTTACTTTCCAGGTTTTTCTATATATGTGCTTCTGTAGAAAACGCACCATAAACCGATTGGAACACAAAAACTAAGGGAATCAATGACGAGCCTGTCTAGAGTGGTGAATTTTTCTGGGTATGCTCACTTTGTCAGTTCTGTAGAAACTCTTCCATTCTTTATAGCATTCGAATTTAAGGTCATGCGACACAATGCATCATAAACCAATGCATTATTGCATAGTGCACACAGCGCCACTTTCCCTGACATCTAGCGTACCTGGTAAAGTCTGTTAACTGCGCGAAGAAACAGTTTATTATGCTTATCGTATGTAGGAACAAACAGGTTGCATTTTGTGAACGTGTACTTTCTGGGTCTATTCTGGGTTATTTTCCAGGGTTTCCTGTAGAAGCATGCTGATAGCTGTGGTATGAAAAGCTACATTGGGAATGCATGAAGGTCGGTTAATTGCTGAAACAAAATATATCCAGTGTCATTAGGATCTACAGCTACAGTAGTATCTATTACTACAGCACACTAATTATATAGGCTAAATTAAAATCATATAATACCTGTCACATAAATCGGATTACAAAGCAACCCATTGACTCTTGGAATGAGGTGGCTCCTGTATTGAGCCTGTGCAATCAAACAATTCAGAAGTCAACAGGTTAAGAATCACCAATTTCACCATCAATAGAGTGGTGAAGTGTGACGTCATCAAAAATCTGTTTTTAGAATTTCTCAATTTTTTCTTCATTTTCCGAAAGAGCATCAAATTAATGTCCAAATGTCGAAAACCAATTGAATATGTTAAGTATTGGCTGAGATATGACCATCTGAATAAATATACGTCCTATGGGAACTCAGTGTTATATCCTCTGGCTCCTAATGGTTAGGAGACAGAGCATATAACACTGAGCTCCAATAGGCAATCTTTTTATTCAGATGGTCATATCTCAGCCAATACTTATCATATTCAATTGGTTTTCGACGTTTGGACATTATTTTTGATGCTCTTTCGGAAATTGAGAAATTCTAAAATTATGACGTCACAGCTTCGGTACTCTATTGACAATCAAGGTCTTGATCTTGAAATGTTACTACAGTCACATTGTGTTTGTTCAGCTTACTTTCTGGCCTTTACAAAACATTGAAATGCGAAAAAGCTGACAAATAGGTGGACAATGTCTTTGTTCTTTATTTGTTTTTAGTGACTATTATCATGAAAATATAGATTGTTTTGTTGGTTTCCCTTTGGCTGTAGAGTTCCTCGACAGTGTTGACTATGGTACTGCAAGCGCAGGAGCCTTGATAAGAATGTTTGTGTACAGAAACAAGAAGATGTTTGATTGTGCAAATATTGGATTGAATGTATTACGATGTAAATAAGAAAAAAAATTAGATTATGATAACTTGATTCTTTTAATGGCTTATGTGAAAATCATGTCCAGTTTTAGTATTTGTGTTTTGTGTAACGACAAATGGTGTAGGTTATGATTTAAAGAGAAATAAATCTATGATATAAGTAGGTAAAATGTTCTTTTGTTTAGTTTTTTTGTGATATACTTTGAGTACGAGGTGTTTAAAGATATTACAAAGTTTTGGTATGGGGTCATGAATTTGGTTCAAATGAACATATTGGAAGCATATGCGTTCCTACAATATACATTGATCATTGTCGCGGTTGAAATCGAGTCTAAAGTTATGAAATTATAAATAATAAACTCTTAATGTTGTATAGCTCCCTCTCAAGGTCAAGATATTAATTTAGCTATGAAACAATGTTTCTTGACTAAAATCGACCGATTAGCTATTCCTGTTTGGAAATTATATATCCCAATTACATATTCTGAGATTTTCATGGTCGCAGCTACCATTGTATGGCCATATATAGGCGCTATTTATCAAATTTTATCAAAATTTATCAAAATTTACCGGGAGCACTGGTAAATTTTTATATATTTCAATTTTTCTCGAAAACAGAAGTGTTTTAGGGGCTAATTTTTTTAGTGCTTATAATACATCCACAGGGTCATCCAAATATATCAAAATTGTAAAGATTCACTATCCACCCAATTTTCAAAATTTTCCAAAACTTTGTATTACCTTTAAAGATAAAGGCCAGTTATGGTCATGCGATTGCATTGTGAAAGAAACGTTGTGGAATCGATCAGAAAAGGTTGACCATCTAGCATATAAGTATTGGTGTGTATTGCAAGGTTCTGGAATCATCAAAATGATAAGAAATTTGGCCCAGTCTTCGTAAAGTTACAAGCACTGCACACAGAAAGATGTATATGGGACTACGCACACGTCCGCGACACATGCGTTTATCTCTCACACACCAATAGATAAACTAATTTACCAAATATATGAATTAGTAGGCGGTTTCCCGGCAAAATTGTTATCATCGTGCATTAGTCAAAACATACTCTTTCACATGATTGATAATAAGAGCTTCCATTTCATTTTTTGAAATTGGGGCGATTCCAATACTGTGAAAGAGGGTAAGAGAGAGAGGGGAGTGGGGGCCCCTGTCCCCCGACTCAGTGTTATTTAGGGTACGCATATGCGTGTTCCCAGCACCCCCCCCCCTTTTCAGCATAAGTCCTGTGTGTAAAGTCAATACGGATAGATCTTTTTCTTTTGTTACACAAGCCTTTTCAGCACCCCCCTTTTCAGCATAAGTCCGGTGTGTAAAGTCAATACGGGCAGATCTTTTTCTTTGTTACGAGCTAGAGATTTTTGGAAGATGCATGCGGTCCCTCCGTTCCCGCAGTGGGGGAGGGGCAGGGTGAGGGCATAGGGAATATTATAGCAAAAGTAGTATACAAATGATAAAGCCAGAGGATATAAAAGGGAGA